AGGGAAGAGGGGGGGGGGGGGAGGAATTAAAACTCACGGACACAAACTCGAGTCGGTGGGGTGGGGAAAGATTTGGGGAAAGGGGTGGGTATTGGAGGGGGACGATGCGGTCAAGGATATGAAGGAGAGAAGACGGCGAGAAGGAGAATGAGAGAGGGGAGTTGGGGCTTCTCTTGGCCTCTATCAAGCGAAAGAGTAAAAAAAATATATATAACCAACAGAAAATAAAGAGGGACGGAAGGCGAGCGCGTTTTCCACATCGTACAGATACTGGACCCTCGTCGCCGGCCGGCCCGCAACCGGCCATCTTGTTTTAACGGTCCCGCCACCTATTCCCCCCCTTACATGCGTGGGTGTACAACCTCGTTCTCTCGCATCTCACTCTGTTTTTATTCTTATTGTATTGTTGAAATGTTTTGAGAATAATATTGGAGAGGGGCGTTTTGAGATGCATTGGAATGTAAAAACATCAACATTTTATCAACATTTTTGTCCTTGCATTATCTCCCGGGTTTCTACATAGAAAATCGCTAGGATGTCATCTGGAGAAGTTCTAAGATTCCTCTGTCTGTTTACGAAATTCAGACAGAGCTCTGGATGTATGAACCACTCAGGTCAGTCAATTTTTGGAGTGGTTTCATGAGACTTTCCAGGGCTATTGGGAAGTTCACAGAATCTAGAGGAAAGGATTACCCCCTAGGCTCCGTTTTTAGTCTCACTGTATTGTTGAGATCTGTACACTGATAGAATGATTCATTTATTCCAAACGAAATTCGTTAACTATTAACGAATGGTAGAGTTGAATATGACCAAATGAATATTCGTTAATAGTTAACGAATGGTTCACTTGAATGGCGAAAGTCAAGTCAAACAAGGCTCCTCAAATATACATTCGTTAACTATTAACGAATGAACATTTGGTGAGACCGAATAGACCCTAACCTCCAACCAAAATCCATTCGTTAATAATAACTAATCCGTTCTATCAGTGTAAATTTTCGCTCAATTGTACGAGTGCACTGATAGAACGGTTTAGTCGAACCAAACGAGCCTTTTCAACTATTACCACGATTCGTTAACTATTAACGAATCGTGGTAACAGCTAAGAAGCCTCGTTTGGTACAACAGAATCGTTCCACCTTTTCTATCAGTGTAGAATCCTTCACTGATAGAATGATTAATTTATTCCAAACGAGATTCGTTAACTATTAACGAATGGTAGAGTTGAATATGACCAAATGAATATTCGTTAATAGTTAACGAATGGTTCACTTGAATGGCGAAAGTCAAGTCAAACAAGGCTCCTCAAATATACATTCGTTAACTATTAACGAATGAACATTTGGTGGGACCGAATAGACCCTAACCTCCAACCAAAATCCATTCGTTAACAATAACTAATCCGTTCTATCAGTGTTCCAGAGTTTGGTATAAACTCCGAAGTCTCTCTCTGGTGTAAATTTTTATCCATAACCACCGTGGTATTGCCTTTGTCCGCCGGAATAATAATGATATAACATATTTGAATATTTTAAATACATGATAACAACTCCACCGTGAAAATTCTCATAAATATCCTCTCTTCTTTCAGCCACCTCTCCTCACCTCGAGAAATATCCACGAGTGACAAAAGCCTGGCCGAATAAACACAGCCTCGAGTGCGACATGAACCGGCGTCGAAGACATGCGATCAAGGGACCGAGAGCTGAGGGGTAAGTATACACAGCATTTACGCTCAAACGGGATGAATGTATTCACGTGAGGGGGGCAACACAGCGCATATCGTTTCGAGTTCGTGTATAACCAACGATTATCGTATATCGGGCCACTAATAATAAGCCACGAGGCACGGTAGCGTGTATGTACACGTTACCCCGTACATATACACGAATGTACATTAGACGTTACTCGAATATAAACGTCCCCGGTATGAAGTGAATAAATATCATTGCGTATGTGTGTGTGTGTGTGTGTGTGCGTGTCGTTGTAATTTCACTGAACATATTTTCAATAAAAATTTTCCATTAATATAACGAGGGAAACGACTGCACTGGGTATTCCATAATCCTGACGTTCAGCCTCTCAAGGTCATTTGCATCGCATGACTGATTGAACGATTAAGGAATTAGAAAAGCCTTTTTTATTTCTAAAAACAGATTCTCTTCTTTGCAAAAATTGGTTTATTTCTATTTCTTTTTTCGGAGCTCAGGGTTTATGAGAAAAAAAAATTGATGTTTTTTTTTGGTAATCATCTCGGGTTTCCTGTCGGTATACAACCGCGTGGGGGACTATTATCACGATGGCGCGAAAATTACATGTTATTTCTCTCCTATGCATTGAAATGAGGCACTTAATCTCGGGATCATATGAAGCAGCGACAAAATCGGAAAAATAATCAGTTCTCGTCTTTATGCGGTTAGCATTCAGTGCCGTTAATCAAAATGGATGGATTAACTTATATTGTTAATATTTTCTTCTGAAATTACACTAAAACAAGACGATCTGTTTCATTTCAGTTGGAACAGTGTGATTTGGATGAGTCAAAATTAATTTTGAATCTTGAAAAAAATTCCACAAATCAAAAGTTTCATTTTTAATTTAGCGATAGCTTCACCCAAATTATCGAATGAAATACGGAAAAATTTTTTTAAAAATACCTACACAGATAAATCATCCCCTGCGGGGCAAAACGGGCCGCCCGGACGCCCACCCCCACCCAAAAAATGACTTTTACATCACCCCCCCATATCCTTGAGATGACTGTGTTTATTCCTCCCCCCATGCGTGTTCATACAGTTTTTATTTCTCTTGCATCTCCCTCTGCCCCCCACCCCCTCCCCTCTCTCATATTCCTCTCAACTTCTGATATGCCAATGGCCGACACGCGATACGCGAATGGAGAGTTTGTGGCGTCCCAAGCGCCAGACAACCGCGCGATTCAATCCAAATGTATGGGGGAGCCTGAGCCGAAAACCCCAGTGAAAGGGAAGGTGAATTTTTCGAGTATAGCATCTGGAACCCCCCCCCCCCCTTCTCTCGCTCCGAACTGTCCTCGTGGGATTGAACGCTCGAATTGCGATTCGTTCCCGCAAACCCCCTCCCTTTCCCCCCCTGAAGTTTTCTCTTCATCCTTGCTTCCACGTCGTAAGAAAAAGAATCGAATTGCTTTTCGACCTTCCAACGTCTCAAGATATTTCCCCTCTCTCTTCCATTCCAGTGGAAAATAAACCCAAAAATCCCTGAGATATGTTATTTTTATTATATTCCTTAATACCATTAATTCAAAAGTTTATCTTTTTCTTGAATAAAAGGAAAAGAGGAGAGGGAGGAGATGAAGTGGAGATAGATCGTTTGATAAGTCCCATGTAACGGCTAATTTTCTTTCATATATTTTTTTTTCCCCGCGTTTTTCTGCCTCTTTTTATTTTACACTCGCCTGAGAATTGATAAAAGAAAGGAAAAAAAAATATCGGGACTGGATAAATGAAGCTAAAAAGACAAGTCCAAGGACTTTAAAAATATTCGGGGAGAAATGGAATCCTTAATGAATCCCCTCATTAATACGTATAAACCAATTAAAGTGGTGGAGTTACGGGTGAGGACGAAATGAATTTATTGAAAATAGAGGATTTAATGAAGTTTGAAATACGAAAGAGAATCGAGGGGGGGGGGAGACTAAATGAGATGCAGTTGTTTTCGAGTCTTTCGCCTCAAGGTCTCCAATGGACGTGTGCATATCTTGTGGCCGATTAATTGTCGATGAATGTTTTTTCATATTTTTTTTTCTGCCTCCATTGGAAAAGAGCAAGCGGTGTTGTGTATAGTTAATGGTTATTGGCTCGCAATATTTATACACACGTACACGAACATTTCATAAAACGTTTAGGTATTATACCGTTGGGTGATACGTGAGTCTGTGCAGTGACTTATAGATTACAACTGTACACTGACTATTCTGATTGTCAATTAGTAGTTATGATAGTTTTTTTCAGACTGCTAAAACATACTACGATATTCCAATCTGCGATGCAAAAGAGGTGAATAATATTAAATTGCCGGAATAAAACGCAGATGGTGATGAGTCACTGAGTTCTGTTGATGGTTGATGGAGATGAATCAGTTGATTGGAAATTTCGCTGATTTTGCAATGTGTAATTAATCAACAAGAAATAATTGTAATATGCATAAATTGACATTTTGGAGATATTCCGCGCTCGGACGCAACATCTTGCGCCCTTCCATGTTTCCCTTCTGAAGAAACAAAAATTTCCGACGTAGGATTTTCATTCCTTTCATCTCTGAGTGAAGCTTTCCCAACAGTCAAAATTTTCGCCTCAATATTTTGATAAACATGAAAACATCAACAAAATGAAGAACAACTCACCCAGAACGAATGAGCGAAGGTGTCCCCAGTCCAAGTGGAGCTCCCCCAGCAGTCGGATCAGCAGCAACAAGTTCAGAGAGTACAAGAACTGTGGTCGTAGTGTTAGAAGGAACTGAGTTGACAGCACCCACTCCTCTCGGCAGATCATCGTCATGCTGCAGCTGAAGCCCCGGATAATGATGCAGATGAAGTGTCGTTGGTGTCTGATGACGAGTCGTGCCAATCAGACTATTCCTGACACCCTGTGGCGTTGGTGGTGGCGATGGTGATGGTGGTGGTGGTGGATACTCCACAACCTGCACCCTATCAGCCTCACTCTCATATATAATCTCCTTGTCATGTGTGTACATAACCGTCTTCTGTCCGTCATTGTAAATGAGATCAATCATCTTGTGGCCCAAATTAGTCGGATTGCCTTCTGGACTTACGCGTCCATTAGCATCATCATCCCTCTGTATCTGATCATCATCGTGATGATTGCTCTGATGACGCGTTGTGTGATGATTATTGTACTTGTGATGAAGCGTATGATCGCTCTCGTGGAGATCGATAACACTGACTGGTTGCATTGTTGCGAGTAAAACCTGATCGTTATCGTTTTGATTCTGGCTGCTCAGGCACGAGGAAGCTGGTGATATCGGGCTCTCATGCACCTGATTATGATTATCGAAATTATTTTTTGATCATCAAAAATTTACGAGACAAGACTAGTGATTTATCATCGGATTCTTCAATCATGACGCAATCCAACATCTCAACATTTTCGAATGCTAATGACAAGAGCGAATGGAAATAACATTGATAACACAGTTTAATGAGGAGAAGATGGATAAAAAAACCACAAGTCCGACAGAGTGTCAGGTACTTCTTCATAATAATTAATCGACTTGGTGGGTAATACTTGGTCAGGAGTTGGAGAGAACTTGTGGGGATAATTAATTCCTTCAATAACGCGAGTTCTTGATCGAAACGATAAGATGTTAAGTACTCTCATACCAAGACATATTTTTTCTCCTCTCATAACATTCTTTTATCTCTTTTTTTCATTACAATTTGTCGGTAAAAATATCGGATTGTAAGCAATTAACATATTTTATGTTGCCAAGTAATGGATCATTCATCGATAAATTATTATCAATGTGATTGGTTCTAGAATTGTTTATTGTGCCACGTGATAATCGATGGAAAAAATGTTGTAAACATACCGGTGACAGGGCCTCCTGCATATGAAGCCCGGTGTCGTCGTCCGTGCAAGTTGACATCCTCGTTTATTCAAGTCTTCAAGAGTTAAAAAAAAAGAAATCGAAGTGAAAAATCAAAAGATCTTTCGAACTTGCGAAAACCCCCCCGTATCTTTCCCCCTTATTATATCACAGCTGGCTGGACGTTATGGCACGTTTTGTAGGAGTCATGGAAAAGGCACGGATGTTAACGTCTACCTGTCAAACAAAACCAGAATCATCTTCATTAATGAAATCACTGGGTTAACCGGAGTTGATTCATACAGAGAGAGGGGAAAACGGGTATTTCAGTTTCATTGACCTGATCCGTCTATTGATTTACATTGAGGTAGGGAATATGGTGATAAGTTGTCTAACTAGATAGCTTTGAGTGAAGGTATTCTTATGAAGCACACTGAACGACATTTCGACCTGGTTGAGTATTGGATGAGAGTTGGTGACAGTAAGACGTGAGAAATGTTCCATAGATACTTAAAAAACGTCAGGATGATTGTTATAGTGATGATTGACGCGCCGTTAAACCCGAGAAATGTTTTATGTCAACTACAGCATCATGAACCAGACAGATTTGACTGAAGACCTGACTATGAACAACAAAGTATTGAACAATACTTAGTTGAAGTACTAAAAAGTACTAGTGTCTTCACATTTGTCATGAGAAATCTTCTCAAACACTTGCAAAAAACATCCGAACAACTGAAAAAGAAAAGGCGCTGTTCGCTACATCAAACCAGACAGCAGGGAATATGGTTTTAAGCTGTCCATATCTTGGATAGCTTTGACTAAAAGTACTATTGTGAAGTGCAAAAGCCCCCAATACTTGATAGAAGGAGCTTTCATCATTGCTTCAAGCACAGATATCGTTCGAACGATCCTCAGTAAAAATACTGAAAAACGCAGTAATGGGAAGCATAAGTTTTCCTATCCCTTCAACCACCAAAAGTTCATCAAAATGATTTCGGCTGAAAGCCGCTGATTGCTCCACCAAGCCAGAGAAATGTCTCGTCTCCCACAGCATAATAACGAGACAAATCCAAAGCTGATGGCTTTTTCAGAGCCATATCGTCACTCCTGAGTCTCCAGCTACCCCCATCTGCCATACAGACTCATCCAATTTCCCCTGTACCCTGGACTACCGTAATCACCTGTATCTCACGTTGTTTGTATACTCTCGACGTTAGCAAACACGCGGAAGTAAAAGTAAAACGAGTTGAGGTTTTTTAAAGTTATCGTAGTGTTGGATGGGGTTGAGTTTTAAAAGAAGAAGGAGGATGAAGCAGGTTCAGCCGGTCTAACCTGATTCCACCAAAGGACCCACCTCCGTTTGTATTTCAAGTAGCCGCTTACGCCCTCGCGGTGCCCTCCTGGCATCATGCCCACAAGGTAAGCTGTTTTCTGTCTACCAACACACATATCAAAACCACCAGTTAACAAGTTGTGAATCCACGAGAATTCATTCAACTTGTCGACATATTGCAACGAGTTTTCATTCGTGATACGTCTGATCCAGACGAGTGTTGTTCACCGAAGGATTCCCCAAAGTGAAATTGAAAAGAGACTGGGGAGGGGGACTACCTGCTGATCCACCTGACACTAAATCCTTCAGGTAGTTGTGGTGCTACAATAGCTGTCGCATTTGATCTACTTCAATTCAAGAGAATCAGAATGGATCGGCAGTCATTGTAAAGTGTAACTGTGTACTTACTTGGTGCGTGGTGAAACTTTTGGTGTCTTCTGGTGAGCGTCGCACGGCATCATCGAGTGTTCAGTGCTTATTCTTCCTTCAGGATTCCACGGAACAGGGATATTTGGATGAAGCAGAGAGAGGGAATGACTGAAAGGGGGGAAGTAAACTACAAACTACCAAAAGTATATCTCTACTTCCGGATCACATCTCAGCGGTTCTTGTCTCCGGGTCTTCACCCAATATCTACCAGCCACCCATCTCCCTCACACACACGCACACACACACACACACACACGTTACCTAATCTCAATTTATGTCAATGTATTCCTGATAAATGTTCACTCTCTCAATCCACTCACTTCACAGATCAATCACATAAAGTATACGATTGTCGTTTTAATCTTAATCCGTGAGGCGTCTTTCTCAGCCTCGTAACCAACCACACAGAACCCGGTAGCAGTCACAATATCAATTGCCCGGTATCACTAGCAATTGAAAAAACAACTGTCAAATAACGAAAAATCACTGGATTAAATTCACCAGCGGTCACTCGAATGATCGCAAAAACATTATTTTCATTAACAAAATGATGAAAGAATTCTTATACCAAAGAAGCTAAACCTCGTCGCGCGCACCACAGAGTTCTCTTCTCATCGAGATAGACAACATGGCCGCCTTTTCCAGCATCCAAGCCTTCCCCACCTTTCATTCCCCTCTTCACCTCACCCCAGGATCCCTCTCACTCTCACAGATTCAAGTATCCCCGCCAATTATCCTCCGTCCTCATTCCACCTGCCGCCTACGGTCAGCTCTCCATCCTTCTTTCACCAACGCCACCTGTATCCCAAGACATCAGGTGGAAAGGAGACGACCATAACCTGTCTCCATCTCACCTAGTACTCCCACCATGACTCCGGGGGGGAGACCCTTATTCCTCCATCTTTCTCTACTGAAATGCCCCGATACCCTCCCACTATGGGCTCCAACCACCAACGGTCAAGACATCAGGTAATGCGAGATGGATGACACGTTGGAGGGAGTGAGAGACACCGATCAGGGGGCTGCGGTGCAGGGGGAGGGGGGGGGGTGCGCAGGTAGCCCGGGTTTTTCTTTAAAACCAAGACCGAAAGAGTGGGTCTGGAGATGAAGATGAAGACGGAGAGGTCCAAATTTGTGGGAGAGGGACGGAGGGATGGCGGAGGAGGAGAGAGGGAACGCGATGGCTGGGGCTTTTGGAAGTTATCAGGGGGCGGGGGGGAGGGGGCGCTGGACCTCTCGGCCACCCTGAGGATCGTTTATCTCTTTTTGGGAGCTGGGGGGAGGCCGGACCGATGGGGACTTCTGCCGGTTGGAGAGAGATGGAGGTGGGGGGCGCAGGAGGATGATGTGGAGACTGCGAGGCCAGACGATGAGGTACGAAACGTTATTTCTTGGGTAGTTGGGATTGCGGGAGGGGGGGGGGAAGGTCTGGGTAACCGTTTGATAAAAGGGAAATTTGGGTTTAAGTGGGTGGATTTTAGACCCTTTCAGATTTTTTCTTGTTCTTTTGTTCGATTATTTATGACACTTTTATGGTATTGTGTTATTTTATTTGATTATTTATCAATTTTATTGTATTTGAGCCAATGTGGGATTCAATATCTTCGAAGTAATGTGTGAAAGAATAGGGGAATTGAGAGAAAGAATTAGCTCTGCCGAGGAACTACATGTTCCACGTGAGAATATTTGATGGAGTGGAACAGATTTACTTGAGGGAAAGTAACCAACTTGATGGCAGGAAATTTAATATCTTTCACAGAAATTAAAGTTTTGTCGGGATCATCAGAAATATCACTAGAAGAATTCGAACCGTTGGCAGGCGAAAATATAGTTTATTGTACGACAATCATTTGATCTGAGAGAACTCCATAGGTTTATACGATAGAAAGAATACATTGACGAGGAAAGAATATTTTTTTAACAAAAAAAATTGGCCCCTCGAAATTATTTAGTTTTGGTAATCACACAGTTTTCGGCAGGAAAATTGTAGTTTCCTCTTGAAATTATCATTTGTTCCGTGGAAATTATATGTGTTTATTGGACAATGATATAATACTACTCAATAACATTCACTTGATAAAAACGGAGCCTCATATAATTCTCTGTAAAACGAATTTATTTATCCGAAAGACAGAAATGTCTCACAAGTACTGCTACGAAAATTATCAAGTTTTGGTGGAAACTTTCTTGTTTGGGAAACAATTTTTTTTCTCGGTGGGGAAAATACACAATGAGTGGTTGTACAGTATAAGGTCAGCAGGTTCAAGATGGCGATTATACAAACAGATCAAGATGAAATCAGAGCAATGGTTTTACTAGGTCATGAGCCTTGTTGGTAATAACGACTGGAGTCAGTGGAATGTCAATATTCAGGAATGTTTTTACTATTGATGATTGATCACATGTCAGCTCACCCTCAATTGGAATCGGAAGATGTAATAGAAACTGTGACTTGAGGGTATCCAAGTATCTTTTTTTATCGCTAGTATCTTTTACTCGCTGTCGGCTCGGGCTGCAAATTCATATTCGCCCGAAAAAAATTTTTCGGCGCTAATGACGAAACATTTATTTCTGCCTTGTCATGAAATCGCTATTTTCCGTACTGCTTCTCACTTTTCCCACTCCGGAGATTGGTATTGGCCCTTCACTGTTAAAAAAATTTAACGGAATTTTCCAGGAAATGACAAAAAAATTCAAGGCAATTCAAGGAAATTCCTGATTTTTCAGTGGAAGAACCATGAAAATTGCGAAATTTCCATGAATTTTCAATGTAAACATGAAAATTCAATAAGAAATTGCCCTGAAATTTAAAAAAATTGAAAATTCAAGGACATTTTCATCTGAATTTTCCTAATTTCCGTTCGTTTTCATGAGAAAATTTAACTGAAATTTAAAATTTCCATGAATTTTCCACGAAAACCATGAATTTTCAATGGCAAAATTCCCTGAAATTTCAATGAAACCGTCACTTGTTTCATATTTCAAGGCTAAAGCCTGGAAATTTCAGTGAAAATTTTTTAACAGTGTTCCCCAAACAGGTAAAAGTGAAAATCACTGCGTCACAGGGGTTTTCGGCTCGCGTGAGGTTGGCGCGCTGAGCCGAAGGCGAGAAAGACCCCAGTGGCACTCGACGCGAAATTAGTTATTTTCATCACAAGGTCCACAAAGTATTTTCTGACGAATGTGGAATCACATTCGTCAGAAAATACTTTTGGACCGTGTGATGAATGCAATTTTTCGTCAGAAGGCCCGTACACCGCGATCAAACCGAGCGAAGCGAGGTTAGAATCGCGGTTTACCGGGTCTTCTCACGAAAATACCATTTCGTCACAAGGCCGAAGTAGTATGTTTCGTCATTAGGCTGAAAAAAACTTTTCTGGCGAATATGAGTTTGTAGCCCGAGCCGAAGGCGAGGTTGCAGCCCGAGCCGAAGGCCAGGGTTGCAATCGTATGAGCTAGAAAAGTTTTTTTAGGTCCGAATGACGAAACAAACATTTCTGACGCGTGTGAGGGTTACAAGCCGAGGCGAAGCCGAGGAATGCAATCACATAAGTCAGAAAAGTTGTTTTCGGCCCGAGTGACGAACATAATTTTTCTTCACAATGCCGTAAACGGCGTTTGACTGACACAAAGTGTCCGTAAAACGACGTTTTACGGACAGTGTAATGAAAGAAGCTGTTTCGGCCTTGTGGCGAAAATAGCTATTTCATACTGTTTGAATTATACTGGATCGATAGAACCCAAAAAATCCAAAACTTAAATTTGAACGATTGCAAAAGCTTCCATTCGGAAGCAAAAGCCGAAAAATATAATTTCCCGAATAAAAATTTGATCTCAGGGGCTGTCCCACCCGAATATCCACAAGATTAACCAAAAAAAAATGAGTGGAGATTTGGTGAGTGTACGGTGACCGTCAGAGAGGTGGAATTAAAACCTGGAAGATGTGTTGGAGAAAAATACATACAGATGTGTGGCGCGAAGGATAGAGTGGGTGAGCCAAGCGAGGAGGGCGGGGGAGGGGGAGGAGGAGAACTCGTGAAAAATGGGTATCCAGTGAGAGAAGACAGCCTCGGGCTATGTCCGAGGCCTAATGCGGCTCTACGCGGCAAGAGTCGGAATACTCGGGGAGAGGCAGGGAACCAAGCGGCTGATCGTGTGGAAAATTTTCAATTGAATTGGAAGGCCCCAGACTCCAGTGATCGGTATATTCACGGGAGGATTTCATTCACTCGTTGGTTGGCGATGTGGGGCAATTTTGTTGTTGAGTTTCTCTTGGATATGCCAGACACCAGCAACAATTCAAGAGCAATTTCAGTCATTTTAAGAAGACAATTTCCACTAATTCTGGGTTACGTGAAAGGAGATGATTATTTTTGTTCGGGATGTTTGAAAAATTCAAGGTTTAAAGGGTCTTTTTATGGAGAAATTATTGAAATTAATTGTTTAGACTTCGAGAATACCAATACTTGGGGGAATTTCATAATTTTAGTGTTCAGTTTATTCAATAAGAATTATCAGAAATTTTCGCAGAGAGGGGATAATGACGTCACATCTCCCTACCCTTCGTAATTGACTCACTACGAGGCGCTACTCGCGCTCCAGTGGCAAGAGGAAAGTGAGGTTAATTCATTCACTTGTTTTTCTCTCCATTTATCTACGGCATTTCAATTTGACATAAAATTATAGAAATTATGAAAATTATAAAATTGTGGGATTTATCACGTATTGAGCTTCTTGAGTTCTGAAAAATTCATTTCAATAATTTTTCTGCAATATTTTTTCCGTAAACAAATTATTGGAATTAATTATTTAGACTTCAAAAAACTTAATTTGTGAGAAATTCCACAAGTTTATCATTTCGTTAATTTAATAAGAATTATCAAAAAATTTCCCTGGGAGGGAATAATGACGTCACATCTCCCTACCCTTCGTAATTGTCTCACTACGAGGCGCTACTTGCGCTCCAGTGGCAAGAGCAAAGTGAGGTTAATTCATTCACTTATTTTTCTCTCCATTTATCTACGGCATTTCAATTTGACATAAAATTATAGAAATTATGAAAATTATAAAATTGTGGGATTTATCACGTATTGAGCTTCTTGAGTTCTGAAAAATTCATTTCAATAATTTTTCTGCAATATTTTTTCCGTAAACAAATTATTGGAATTAATTATTTAGACTTCAAAAAACTTAATTTGTGAGAAATTCCACAAGTTTATCATTTCGTTAATTTAATAAGAATTATCAAAAATTTTCCCTGGGAGGGAATAATGACGTCACATCTCCCTACCCTTCGTAATTGTCTCACTACGAGGCGCTACTTGCGCTCCAGTCTCAAGAGTAATGTGAGGTTAATCATCGATCTCGATCATTCATTTTTCTCTCCATTTATTTGACATTGTTTCAAGTAATTCTCATTTCTCCCGACCGCACCGACTTAATTCCTCAAAACGCCAATTCAACGAGAGTATGGCGTTGCCCCACCAGAGTTGTGACGTCATTCAAGGTCATTTGAGCCTTTTGAAATCACAACTTTTCAATAATTTTCTTCATTATAAAAAAATCTATTTGCAAAGTTTT